CCAATGTGTTCAGTCATAAGCAATTATATTTTTTTGAAAATAGGTATTTGTGAATATAACAACAAATGAATTATTGCATGATAAATCATTACTACAGATGAGATAGGCTATAAACAACTGATGACATGTAAAGTTAATTATAGGATTAAAATAAAGAAACTTGAGAAAAGCCCATAAATGTAGTATTATTTTATTGTATTTTTTGAGACAGATACTGTTGTGAACCCCTGAGTGTTTTTGAACTCTTGATCCCCCTGTCTTAGTTTCTGGAATGCTGGGATTATTGGCACACACCACCACATATGGTGTATCTCTTAAAAGTGAAATCCATCACTGAATTTGAATGCAAGAACAAAGATTGAAATATCAGAAATTGTACAGCTACATAGGATTTAAATAAGTTGAACAATGATACATAATATGTAAGCGAACCCAAAGCTTCAGATTATATAGTACCTTTAAATTGCAAATATGCTTACAATATTTAGATGTATTCAAGAAAATATGAGAATTTTTACCAAATACAATAATGTTGAAATAATACATAAGGTGTTGTTTTCAAATTCAAGAACAGTAGAAGATGAAGTTAATGATAAAAAAATAAAAAAGAATGATTCAGAATGCTTAGCAGTACACTTCATAAAGTAAAGAAGAAAAATTACAGCATTCTTTAGAAACTGTGAAGATTGATAATAAAGACAATAAATATGAAAATGTATACTTATGGTTATATTTACATTGTTAAAAACATTAATACAAATTCTAAAAAATAAATTACACACTGAATTCAAGTGGTTAGAAAAGAGAATAATGTAAACTCAAATGAAGCAAATATAAGGAAAATGAAAGATATGCAACAATAATAATGAAATGAGAAATAACCAAATAACACCAGTATAACCCAAAATAGGCTCAATTAATTATGCCAAGATAGGCATAGCTAAGAATTAGTATAAATTATAATGACATTGAAACTCATGGGATCCGTTCTCTCCAAAATATACATCTACATGCTTAACTCCATAAAACACAGAAAGCTAAATTTGCTAGAAAAATTTAGGATATTTAAAACGTAAACAGAAATCTAGCCCTTGCAAAATATTTACAGTAATTAAAAATTATCCCCCAAATAATTCCAGTAATTCGTTGACTTATTAAATTAGCCACATCATTGTTGTATGGCTACCAGAAAAATCAACTGAGTGAACTTTCTAGAACCAATTCTACAGTGATAGAAATGTGTGGAATGCAATACTAGCTCCTAACACTTGTATGGCTTTAAATGAATGTGGATACAAAATGTCCAAAAAACAAAAATTTTTAAATCATTATCTTACTTTTGAATACCTGAGCAAAATCAAAATGAAATTTAGTACTCTTATAGAAAAATACAACTCATTCGAATATTAATGTACAAAAATTCTTTGAGTACTTCTGCTATTGACTGCTAATATGTTTTAGATGACCTTCTTGGGAAAATAGTTATCTTCCTATGTTTGTTTGCTTGAAAGTTGCTTTACATAATCTGTCTTCATCTGAATCCCTTTTTATATTACAATTTATTGATTATTTCACATTAACCTTATACAAAATAAGTACCTCAATACACTGTTGAAAGCAAGAAAAACGCTTTACTTTGTGATATTGAAATATTTAAAATATGGATGTAATATTAGTAAATTCCAAATTGCATTTCATATATATGTATATATATACATATATATGTGTGTGTGTGTGTGTATATATATATATATATATATATATATATATATATATATGTCTGTGTGTGTGTCTTACTAGCTTATTATTCTCCTTACTTGGGCTGTTTGACATTTCCTATGCACATATGTTCATCCTTATTTTATTGCTGTATATCAAGTCTTAGGATAAGATGACATCATATATTTTGTATGTCTTTTTATTATTTGATTCTTCTTTATAAATGTTAAATTTCTAGGGAATTACTCAAACTATGTGGATGAAATACTATTAATGTATTACTTATGGTATTTTCATAATGTGTGATAAACTGAAATGTTACCATGATTTCTAATATACATTCAAGTTGGTAGCATTTGTGTAAAATAAAATGTATTTTTAAGTTGATATTTTATTGAACAAGTTAGTTGACCACTCTTTTTCCTAGATGTCAGCATCTTTCCCTGGGCTAATCCATTTCATAAGGGTAACCGTCTCTTTGGACTGGGAGTTGCCCCCTACCCCCAATATCAAGGGTCCGTGTGCAAGCTTCCAGTCCAAGGTCACTTCCTCCTCCCTGAGTAAGGTTCAATCTGCCTCCGAGTCAATTAAGCAGCAAAACCTCTTTCCGCCTATGAGAATACTCATTTTAGGGCAGAATCCTTCCACCAGGGGTATGGTCCAATGGGCCTGGGTAGTCCATCCATGAAGCTGCCTGGGCCTCAGAGCAGAGGGGGTTCCTCCTTGAGAGCTAACGGGGCTGGAAGATGCCCCTCCCCTAGTTTAAAGGCTTCCCATCTAAATCAAACTTGGATCAACAATCCTTTTCCAATGGTATCCCTTCCTGCACCTAGGGCAGGGTATAGGGGGTGGTTTGCACCCCCCCCAGGCTGGTTGGCAGGGGATTGTTGTAAACAGTCCCTCTTAAAATGCCCCTCCTGTCTACATTTAAAACAAGTTCCTCTCCCTGATGGTCTTGGGGTTCTTTGGCCCTGGGCTGCCAGCACTGGGGTAATTGCCTCAGTCATTGCAGATGTCTGAGCCTGTAAAGCTAAAGCTAATGATTGGGACTGGTGCTGTTGCGTTCCCACATCCTGTGAGGCCATCACCTATCTGCTCAGGGAACTCTCTCTCAATCCCATGCAGGCCATGCGGTCATCTGCATTCATCCCTTCCTAGACCAGCAGCTTTACAACTGATCTCAGAGGTTCCCTGTGGGCAGCTTGCGGTTAATACTCTGTTGGACTCAGTCTACAAACTCAGCTAGAGGCTCACCAGGTTTTTGTCTTACTCCTGTTTTGGGGGACGCAGTAGGCCCATCATCCAGTTTGTACCACATGGCAAGTCCAGCCTGCCTCACCTGGTCATGGAGTACCCTTCCCCTGTCCCTGTTAACATAGAATAAGTAATAGGTATTGCAGGTTGAGCCTGCTGGTTATTCTCTGCCCACACTCTGCATTCCTCCTTAAAGAAAGCACACCATTTAATAAACTGAGAACTGGTGAAGACAGCTTTGGCCACATCCAGCCGGTCTTTAGGGACACATGGGATAAGCAATGTCCTGTAACAGGGTCTCGGCCCAAGGAGAGTCTGGGCCATCCTCCACCACCACCTTGCAGAGCTCTTTAAGATCCTCAGCTTCCCATGGATAACATTCCAAGGGCTTGTTAGCTCTTTGTGCCAGATTGACTGGATATGCTTGGGGAAGTGAATCCTGTGGCCTAGGGCCTGGGCTCCCAGGTGGCACATCCCTTAAAGGGCAGGCCTACAAGTAGGTTACTTCCCCAGCCCTCAGCCCCTCCATGGAAGGCCGGTAGGGGTCCGGGTCTTGCAGGTCCCTCTCGCAGGTCATGTAGGGCACCATACCTTCCCCCCAATCAGGGAAGAGGGAGGGGGCCTAGGACCGTCATGGGCACCCAAATCAGAGGGGGTAAACTTCACCCTCATTTTGACTTCCACTGTGCATGTTTCAGTGTGTTCTTGGTCGAATTTGACCCAGTCCTTTTCCTTCTCACTTCCCAAGTCCTCCTTTACTCCCTCTAGGCCTAATGTTGCCTCCTCCTTCTTCTGTGAAATAGCATTACCACTAAGGGTTTCGCTTACCCTGAGAGACTGCTTAGCCTTGGCAGGTATATTTTCCTTTCATGCCCCAAGTTGGGCTCCAGATGTCGGGTCTTCGTCTGTCATGAAAGATGGACAAAAGACAGACTGGGTCCCAGGAAAGGTAAGTGCGGCTGCTGGCACATTCTCCAGCCTCCCTTAACCCGGGAGACAATCAGACGCAGTGGGGAGTCAAGTCAAGCAGGAAAACTCGTTTATTAATGAAAGACCCCCTCCCCAACCAACCAGGCCCTGAGCCTCTTTGTAGGGGAACAAAGTTTTGTATTTAACCAAGCTATTTCTGGCTTCTGTAACTTACCCCCATATTCCCCCTTTTGATAACTAACCTCACCAATTAATCAATAAGCCCACACCCTACTAACTAATCCCACCCCACAGTCAGCCCCCTGGTGTGAGTGAACGACAGGCGCTGACTCGGACAAAGGTCACTTCCTCATACCAAGGGCCGGAGACAGGGACCCCCTCGAACAGTGATTGGCTAAAACATATGATTTGTTTTAAAAGGATTGGCTGCCTGCGTGCAGACCAGGTTGTAACACTTTAAATTTACTGGCTGAAAAAGCGCGGGCACTCCTGTAACGGACAGAGGGGTCCCATAAAAGGACCATCCCCGGGACTGCTCGGGTTTCCCAGACACTGACCCGAACCTTGCGGATCTCGAGGTCATGTGCACCTGGGAACCTGGGCATGCCCAAATAAAACCCTCTTGCCTTTTGCATCTGGTGTCGTCTGACTGGTGCTTGGGGCAGGGAGGTCCGGATTTGAGGGACACCCGAAGTCGGGGGTCTTTCATCTTGGGGGCTCGTCCGGGATCACCCCCTGACCCACTCCAGCTCGGACCCACCAGGAGGTAAGCCGGCCGGCCTTTGTCTTTGTCTCTGTCTGTCTGGTGTTTGTCTCCGCGCAGCGTCTGTACTATTACGCGTAATAGCTCTGTATCTGGGCGGCTTGAGAAGGAGCTGACGAGCTCGGACTTCTCCCCCGCCACCCTGGGGGACGCCTCAGGGATTAGAGGGGCTCGATTTTTTTCCGGAGCTCATGTCTGGGGGAAGGAGGGAACGTGGAATCTCTCTCCTTCCAGTCTGAAAATCTGCTTTTGGTTTGTGACCGGAGCCGCGCAGCGTTTGTCCGTTGTTGGTTCTTTTGTGTTCAGTGTTGGTTTAACTCTTATCTTTCTTAATATGGGTCAGGTTGCTGTTACTCCTCTGTCTTTAACTCTAAACCATTGGAAAGACGTTAAAAAAATTGCTCACAATCTCTCCGTAGAAATAAGAAAAGGAAAATGGCAGACTCTCTGCGCTTCCGAGTGGCCAACTCTTAATGTAGGATGGCCAAGGGAAGGGACCTTCAGTCGCCAAATTATTTCACAGGTCAAACAGAAGATATTTCTCCAGGGACCTCACGGACATCCGGACCAAGTTCCGTATATTATAACCTGGGAGTCCCTGGCAGACGACCCCCCACCTTGGCTCGCTCTCCTTATACCCCACCCTTTTCCTTCCCTTCCTTTTCCTGTGCCATCTGCTTCCCCCCCTTCCACGCCTCTTCCTCTCCCGGAACCTCAGCCCTCCGTGCCTTCTGCTCCCCCTCCTTCCACACCTACCGCTTCCCTTTACCCCCTTCTGAAACAGGAACCTACAAAAATACCGGAGAAGTCAGAACCGAAGCCCGTTCTGACCTTGGACGATTCCCCCCTTATTGACCTTCTCTCAGAAGAATCTCCCCTTTACCAGGGCCCCCATCAGGGCCAAGAGGGCCAAGAGCAGATCCGCAGCCGGTCACAGGGTCTCCAATCGCAGGCCGCCTCCGAGAAAGGAGAGATCGGGGCCTGGAAGAAGCAGCGGTGACACTGCCCCTGCGCCCGGTGGCGGGACCAGGACATCACCTGCAGTATTGGCCCTTCTCTGCAGCCGACTTGTATAATTGGAAAACACATAACCCCACTTTCTCTCAGGACCCGGTGGCTCTTACGGCCCTAATAGAATCCATTCTGACCACTCATCAGCCCACTTGGGATGATTGTCAGCAACTTTTACAGGTTCTCCTTATTTCAGAAGAAAGACAAAAGGTGATCCTGGAAGCCAGAAAGAATGTGCCGGGAGACGACGGCCGTCCCACCCAGCTCCCGAACATCATAGATGACGCCTTTCCCCTGACCCGCCCCGATTGGGATTTTAACACACCTGAAGGTAGGACCCACCTACGTCTTTACCGCCGGCTGCTCATAGCGGGTCTCCATAAGGCAGGGCAAAGGCCCACCAATTTGGCCCAGGTAAGGCAGGCAGTTCAGGGAGCGGAGGAAACCCCCACCGCTTTCCTAGAAAGACTAAAAGAAGCTTACCGTAGATATACTCCGTTCGATCCTGATAGTCAAGAACAGCAGGGAAATGTGTCCATGGCTTTTATCTGGCAGTCCGCTCCAGATATTAGGGCAAAGTTACAGAGGTTGGATAATTTGCAGGACTACTCCCTACAAGATTTGTTAAAAGAGGCAGAAAAAATCTATAACAAGAGAGAGACCCCGGAGGAAAAGGAAGACAGACTTAAGAAGGAAAGCGAGGAACGAGAGGCTGAGAGGGATCGAAAAAGAAATAGAGAGCTTAGTAAAATCCTGGCCACTGTAGCCTCAGGTAGACAAGACATAGGCCAGGCAGAGGAGAAGGGGGGTGTAAGGTGGCCTCGAGTGAACCGCGACCAATGTGCTTATTGCAAGGAGACAGGACACTGGTTAAAAGACTGTCCGCAGAAACCAAGAAATTCTAGAAAGAGGACCCCAGGTCCCCCTACCCAGCTCCTAGCCCTGGATGAGGATTAGGGAAGTCAGGGCCAGGAGCTCCCCCCTGAGCCCAGGGTAACCCTAACTGTGGGGGAGCAACCAGTAACCTTTCTCGTGGACACTGGGGCCCAGTACTCGGTCCTAACCAAAGATCAAGGCCCGCTTAGTGACCGAACTACCTGGGTGCAAGGTGCAACTGGCAGCAAGCGATACCACTGGACCACAGACAGAAAAGTTCTTTTGGATACCGGTAAGGTCACCCATTCTTTTCTTCACATTCCTGACTGTCCCTACCCATTGCTAGGGAGGGATTTACTAACCAAACTAAAGGCACAGATTCATTTCGAGGAGAAAGGGGCCTCTGTGACGGGACCGGCAGGCCTACCCCTACATGTTTTAACTTTCCAATTAGAAGAGGAATATAGACTTTTTGAAAAACCAAAGAGTGAGCCCAAAGAAATGGGGGAATGGCTAAAAGCAATTCCAAATGCCTGGGCAGAAACAAGCGGAATAGGACTGGCTATACAACAGCCCCCCCTAGTGGTCCAGTTGAAAGCAACCACTACGCCAATAAAAGTTAAACAATACCCTATGTCAAAGGAAGCCTATGAGGGAATAAAACCCCATATTCGGCGCCTCCTGGATCAAGGCATACTTGCCCCTTGCCGTTCCCCTTGGAACACACCTTTATTGCCTGTTAAAAAGCCAGGCACCAATGATTATCGGCCAGTTCAGGACCTGAGAAAAGTAAATGAACGGGTAGAGGACATTCACCCGACAGTTCCTAACCCGTCTAACCTGCTTAGTACCTTGCCTCCCACGCACACCTGGTATACGGTTATAGACTTAAAAGATGCCTTCTTCTGCCTCCGGCTTAATCCCCAGAGTCAAAGCTTATTTGCCTTTGAGTGGAAAGACCCTGAACAGGGCATCTCAGGACAACTCACGTGGACGAGATTGCCACAAAGATTCAAAAATAGCCCGACTCTGTTCGACGAAGCTCTCCACAAGGACTTGGCAGATTTTCGTCTTCAACATCCTTCCTTAATAATGCTCCAGTACGTGGATGATCTTCTCCTCGCAGCCACCACGAGAGAGGCATGCTTGAGAGGTACTGAGGTATTGCTTAAAACCTTGGGGGAGCTTGGGTATCGGGCATCTGCTAAAAAGGCACAAATTTGTCAACAAACTGTGACCTATCTGGGGTATGAAATTCGAGAAGGGCAGCGCTGGTTGACCCCTGCCAGGAAGGAGGCTATATGTAACATCCCGTCTCCCCAAAACTCAAGGCAAGTAAGGGAGTTCCTGGGCACAGCCGGCTTTTGTCGCCTGTGGATTCCTGGTTTTGCAGAAATGACGGCCCCCTTGTACCCGCTCACCAAGCAGGGGGTTCCTTTTCAGTGGAACAGCGAGCAGCAACAGGCTTTTGACCAAATTAAAAAGGCCCTATTGACTTCCCCTGCTTTGGGACTCCCGGATGTGACTAAGCCCTTTGAACTGTTTGCTGATGAGAAACAGGGCTATGCAAAGGGAGTATTGACCCAAAAGCTGGGGCCCTGGAGGAGGCCAATTGCTTACCTCTCCAAAAAACTAGACCCTGTGGCTGCAGGATGGCCCCCTTGTCTACGAATGGTAGCCGCCATTGGAATGCTAGTCAAAGACACCACCAAGTTAACCTGGGGACAGCCACTGACTCTACTGACTCCCCATGCCATTGAGACCATAATACGACAGCCTCCAGAGCGGTGGCTATCCAACGCGCGATTGACTCACTACCAATCTCTCCTACTGGACTCTGACGCATCCAATATGGGCCACTGGTGACCCTCAACCCAGCCACCCTATTGCCTCTCCCGGGAAAAGCACCTCTACATGACTGTAGCCAGATCCTTGCCGAGGCTCATGGGTCTCGGCCAGACCTCCTGGACGTTCCCTTAGCGGATGCTGAGATGACGTGGTTCACAGATGGCAGTAGTTACCTGGAAGAGGGAAAGAGACGGGCTGGAGCGGCCGTCACCACGGACTCAGAGGTAATATGGGCTAGCGCGCTCCCAGAGGGCACCTCTGCCCAAAGGGCTGAACTGGTAGCTCTGACTAAGGCATTGCGAATGGCCGAAGGAAAGAGACTAAATGTGTACACCGACAGCAGGTATGCATTCGCCACTGCTCATGTACACGGGGAGATTTATCGGCGTAGGGGCCTTCTAACTTCAGCGGGAAGGGAAATCAAAAATAAGGCTGAAATTTTAGAACTGCTCCAAGCCTTGTTCCTCCCTAGCAAGTTAAGTATTATACACTGTCCCGGGCATCAGAAGGGGAGCAGCCCGGTGGCGAGAGGAAACAGACTGGCAGATGAAACTGCCCGGCAGGCAGCCCTGGGACCACAAATACTTCCCCTACGGTCTGGTGCTAAGGAAGCCACCCAACCGAGTTGGGACTGGGACTACTCTGATGAGGACCTGGACTTAATTCAAAAGTTGGGTGCTGATTTTGACCCTACAACCCAAAAATGGTTATATCAAAACAAGTATGTCTACCCTATTAAAGAGACCCGAGAAATGTTCCAACATTTGCATAATCTAACCCACCTAAGTGCAAGAAAAATGAAAGAACTAATAACCAGGCGAGGATCCCTTGGGTACTTCCCCAGAAGAGACCAAATTCTCCAACAAATAGCGGACAAGTGCCCCGCCTGTGCTCAGGTCAATGCAGGAAGAATTAGGCTTGACCCAGGGGTACGTTTACGAGGGCACAGCCCTGGCAATCAATGGGAAGTAGACTTCACTGAAGTTAAGCCCGGGATGTATGGCTACAAATACCTGCTAATCTTTGTAGACACTTTTTCAGGATGGGTAGAGGCCTTCCCCACCAAGACGGAGACCGCAACGGTGGTCACTAAGAAGCTACTGGAAGAAATTTTCCCCAGGTATGGGCTTCCTAAAGCACTCGGGTCGGATAACGGGCCAGCCTTCACCTCCCAGGTAAGTCAGCAGGTGGCCAGGGTACTGGGGATAAATTGGAAATTGCATTGTGCATATAGACCCCAGAGTTCAGGACAGGTAGAAAGGATGAATAGAACAATCAAGGAGACTTTAACCAAATTAACGCTTGCAGCTGGCAATAAAGACTGGGTACAGCTCCTACCATTAGCACTGTATAGGGCCAGGAATACTCCTGGCCCCCATGGACTAACCCCGTTCGAAATCATGTTTGGGGGACCCCCCCTGCAGTAACCTTTTATGACACTGACCAGGTTAAAGCACCTTCTTTGCAAAGCCATTTGCAAGCCCTACAATGGGTACAGCAAGAGGTCTGGAAACCACTTGCCCAGGCCTACAACCAGGAACTTAAAACCCCCTCACTGCCCCATTCCTTTCAGATTGGTGACTCAGTCTGGGTCCGTAGGCACCAGACCAAAAACCTGGAACCTCGCTGGAAGGGACCCTATACTGCACTCCTGACAACTCCCACCGCTCTTAAAGTAGACGGGATTGCCTCTTGGATCCATGCGTCGCATGTCAAAAGAGCTCCTGAAATAGACAACTCCTCTGTCCACCAAGAGCCTCCACAATGGCGAGTCCAGCGTTCTCAAAACCCTTTAAAGATAAGACTTACTCGAGCCTGATTCCCTTCTTTTGCCTTGTGCTGTTATCTAAGTTGTACTTAGCCTCTCACCTGGCAAGTCATATCAGGTACCTCAGACATAATTTGGCAGATTACCTCTGGAAGCCATCCCTGGGGTGCTTGGTGGCCGGACCTCACCCCTGACTTATGTCAATTAGTAGCCGGTATAAAATCGGGCCGTTGGAGCAAGCCATGTCCCGGGCAACCGCCAATAGATGTGGAAAGACCACCTATCTGTAGTACAGACCTTAGTTTTGACCCAACAATACCAAGCCCTCAGACAACAGGGAACTGGTAGTTAAAATAGAAAAGGACAAAGCCTCTAAGGTTAGAGGCACTAACAAAAGAAATGGGGGAATGAAAGACCCCCTCCCCAACCAACCAGGCCCTGAGCCTCTTTGTAGGGGAACAAAGTTTTGTATTTAACCAAGCTATTTCTGGCTTCTGTAACATGCTTTGCTAAGAAAATTATATTACCCCCATATTCCCCCTTTTGATAACTAACCTCACCAATTAATCAATAAGCCCACACCCTACAGTCAGCCCCCTGGTGTGAGTGAACGACAGGCGCTGACTCGGACAAAGGTCACTTCCTCATACCAAGGGCCGGAGACAGGGACCCCCTCGAACCGTGATTGGCTAAAACATATGATTTGTTTTAAAAGGATTGGCTGCCTGCGTGCAGACCAGGTTGTAACACTTTAAATTTACTGGATGAAAAAGCGCGGGCACTCCTGTAACGGACAGAGGGGTCCCATAAAAGGACCATCCCCGGGACTGCTCGGGGTTCCCAGACACTGACCCGAACCTTGCAGATCTCGAGGTCACGTGCACCTGGGAACCTGGGCATGCCCAAATAAAACCCTCTTGCCTTTTGCATCTGGTGTCGTCTGACTGGTGCTTGGGGCAGGGAGGTCCGGATTTGGGGGACACCCGAAGTCGGGGGTCTTTCATTAACACACAGCCAGCACTTTTTAAGGCAAAAAAGACTGGGTGACATGGGAGGGGAGGAGAAGGAACCAATCACTGTAAAGTTTATTTTAAAAAGATTACATTGTTAAGAATAGCATTGACCATGCAGGGGGTTCTAGGTAAGTCTGGGGGGCGAGATTCACCAGACAAGGATAGGGAGGACATTTGTGCATGATCCAAGCACCTGTCCCAGTTACCTCACAACCCCAACTAGCACAGTAATAAACATCAGCCCTGCTACAGTTAGAAATGCCGAAGCAGTTCAGTTAATTCCTGGGTGTATATAAAAGTCAGTGTCTGGTAAGGTCATCCTCTTCAGAACCTGAGAGCAGCCTGGGTATTGGGAGTTCCACACATGCAGCATGGTGCATCCTCATGGGCCCCCACACTCAGGCAGTTCTACTATAGTCCAGAAAAACAAGGAAAATTTAAAACAAACTGCAGACATAACAAAGCAATCCCGGGTACCTGGTGTCTTTTAAGTAAGCCAATTCCTTGTATGTGCCTTTAAGCGAGCACAGGGATCAAGATGACGTTTGAGCTTTACTATCAGCTCCCAATGGCTCCCAACACCTAGCAGGCTGTGCTGTCATTTATATGTAATGTAACACATAACTCAAAAATAAAGGGCTGAGATGTAGCTCAGTGGCAAAGCACTTGCCTAGCAATTGCAATGTCCTGGGTTTGATCCTTAGTACCAAAAAGGAAAGACCAAAAAATTATAGTTAAAACCGCCTCCACTCCCCCCTCTCCTCAAAAAAAATGACCCTTTAACTGGGCACTGGTGATTCATGCCTGTAATCCTAGCTACTCAGGAGGCTGAGGTCTGAGGATCACAGTTCAAAGCCAGACTGGGCATGGAAGTCTGTGAGAGTCTTATCTCCAATTAACCACCAGAAAATTGGAAGAGACACTGTGGCTCAAGTGGTAGAGTGATAGTGTTGAGCTGAATTGCTGAAGGACAGAGCCCAGGGCCAGAGTTCAAGCCCCATGACAGAAAAAATAAATAAATAAAAATATTATTCTTTTAGAAAGAAAATGAGTTTTATGACATTTTTAATTAACTTAATGCAAATCACTCTTTCAATAATACAATGAAATTTAGGAGGAAATGCTTGTTTTTTTTTTACAAAATGAAAGAAGGTAAACTCAATTTTCCAAACTATAAACTATCTAAAATTAAATACCATAGTTTACTAACAGCTATTCTATTGACTAATATAGTGCATATGAGGCCTTCTTAGTAATATATTTTCCCAGTCTTTGAATATGTTCACTTTACTCATTATAATTTTTGAAGAAGACCTCTTATTGACAATTTATTTATAATCATATGTACAGAGATGGAGAAGAGTAAACTACGCCTACTTATATTTACTAGTCAGTCTTTTTAACTTACTTCCTTGTTATTTACATAGAATTTACCATAGAAGTAAGAAAGAAATAGGATTAATATTTTAGAGCCTATTGCAATATCCAGGTGCTAGATGATTACATTCAGAATAGTATGAAAGCAATAATAAGGGAAGTGAAATTTTATTCAGCCACAAAATAATTTGAAAGCTGTGTGAATATGATTGGTAGAGAATGGCTTAAGGAAATGCCATCTCAAAATACACAAATTGTTACAATAATTACTTTCTCAAGTAATATGGCTTGAGGATCTGTAAAATGAGAGGAGAGCATTTGGGTTATGTTTCCCTACATACAACAACAAGTCACAAGTATTCTTTTGTGAGAGATGTGTTTCACATTTTAAAGTGAAAAATAACCTTTATCACCATGTAGGTAATTGAATCTGAAATGAGCCTAGTCTTTGAAGTAGCCTTCATCATTTACCATTTTTCTCATTTACATTTTTATTGGTACTCTGCCTAAGATTTGTACCCAATTCTGATTTTTATCATGCCATTTCTTCACAACTTGATTCTTTTTATAAAAAGTATGAAATCATCATGTTTAGTCATCATTTATTAAGATTTAACGATCTTATGAAGATCCTCTGTGAACATGTAAACTTAATAAAACCTTTACATATTTTGACATTAGCTCTTTCATTAATTTGATTCTTAAATATTACTAGAGTTCACATAAGACCTATCTTTCTCTTACAGCTGATTGATATCACTATAGGTTTGATAGAAAGAAATTCAGGAAATTTTAGACTGTTTTGCTCTCTAGTTAGAAAATTTAAATGGTAAAATATGGTCAGGAATTTTCCAGATTTGGACTACTAATTTTGATATTCATTTCAATTTAGTAATGCAAGTAAAGACAATAATGAAGCAAGCAAAATTATGATTATGCAAAGAAAGATCCCTACAAACTAGGTAAATTTAGAAATGATCAGTATATTTACCTGAAGATATGGAAATGATTATCACCTAAGAAATTTTGAGGGCTGGGAAGGTGGCTCACTGGTAGAGCGCTTCCCTTGCATGCATGCGGCCCTGGGTTCGATTCCTCAGGACCACATAAGCAAAAAGAAAAAAAAGCCAGAAGTTGCACTGTGGAGTGCTAGCCTTGAGCTGAATCACTGAGGGACAGTGCCTAGGCCCAGAGTTCAGGCCCCACTACCGGACCACCCCCCAAAAAAAGAAATTTTGATAATGTGAAAAAAACACTAGATTTTGCAACTCCCTGTATATGTACCACTTTGATCGTAATAATGCATTCATCCTGGAGAAAGGTTAAATTTATCTAAAGTGTAGATTGGCCAAATAAACAAAACATGAGAATAAGATAGGAGATTAATTAATTTGGCTAATCACTGAATTTTTAAATGACTACAGAAAGAACCAAAAATAAGAAGGATGAGGTAGGAAAGTAAGAGGCTCAATGGTAGAGCACTACCAGACCTATGATTAGCTAAGAATTTCTCTTTTCATATCTCTCCTAATATTAATCAAACCTGCTCTTCTGAATTTGACACTAATATATGTGATTTATGTTGAATATTATGTACTTCAAAATAAAATGTTCTTTCTTGTATGCTAATTTATTCTTTGTCATAGATATATCAATTTTATGTTCTCTTTAATGCTCTTTTGTTAAAATACATTGCATTACAGCTTATAGTTCTTCAATCACACACACACACACACACACCCACACACACTAAATCAGCACAAAATGTGCCCTAGTAATGTTTGTCATTGGAAAATGTAATATGTTAGAATCATAGTAACTAAATTTTACCATTAACTTAGAGGAAGAATAGCAATATTTTCTTTAACCGTTGAGAAAATTAAGCCTAAATTTCAGCTTCATAATTACTCAATTTCATTTTGTATGTTGTAATAAAAAGGCTATCAGAAAACGATTACACAAGAATTTTTGTGTTAGAAAACTATTTTACTTCTAATTGTCATCTACTAAAACGTATTAAATCACTTGGAGTTCCATAGAAATTATGATATTTTAGTTGATTATTATGATTTTTCCTTGTCTTCCTCTCTGGTTTCTGTGTGAAAGCGTTTTTGAGTGGAAATATGTACCAATTAATGAGACTGTACATGAAGAAATAGTACAGATGTTCCATTTGATCAGATGAATTGAGATAGTTGGGATCTAGTAACCACAGTAAGCAATTATATTAAGAGATGAATTCCCATGTATTGTCATTAAAATGCCTGCAGAACAAATCATTACAAAGGATTTCTGTCATTAATTTAAATTATGTATAGGTATATATAATTGTATTTATATGTATACAATTGCATATATATATATATATATATATACACACACAAACATCTCATTTCAAAATTAAGTAGAATATAAAGCTAAAACTTCTGAGATTGAAAAAAGTGAATTACCCAGACACTGACAGCTCATGCCTATAATCCTAGGTAATCAGGAAACTGAGATCTGAGGATTGTGTTTCATAGCCAGCCTCCGCAAGAAAGTACATGAGACTTGTATCTCCATTTAACTACCAAAAGCCATAAGTGGAGCTGTGGCTTAAAAGGTAAAGCATTAACCTTGAACAGAATGTTTAGAAACAGTGTGTGTGTAGGACATCAATTC